GGGAAAGAGAATTAGTCAGTAATTATTTTGGTAATTCTTTATTTTTTCGAGCAAAACTGCAAACTTGAGGGTTTAATGCTGGTCTTTGTTGGTTGACATCTGACTTTGGTTTCTTACAGACTAAATATTTAGTGGGTTATTTGAGAAAATAATTATTAGATTAACTGATGAGGAAAAATAATAATGACTTGCAGTTGTAAAAGAAACAGAAGAGCGATGATACTTTTTGGGATAATGTGAATCTGTGCACCGCTGTTTGTCCAGCTAGCCTAAAGAGGTTCATGAAAAGAGGGCTTTTCCTTTGGCAGCCTGGTTGGTGTTTGATTTTATGTGTGCATGTGGGAGGGGTTGAGGGGTTGGGGGGTTGAATCAATCTGGAGTGCTCTTTCCTGCTTTAGTTTTTCATAACTTTTCATCCCAGAAATAGACAAAACTGAGACATGGCCGCTAGTGCGGTCAAAACCATTTTTGTACTTGTTGCTCCGGACAGATTGAACACCTTCAGTCTCTGTAAATAAATAAAAAAAAGCATCAATAAATGAAACAACAATATCGTCATGGCAGCACAGTGCCAACTATAATCATATTGCTGTGTGTGGCCGGTTTTATGGTTTCTTATTTCAGAGCTCTTTGAGGTGTTATTGCCAATTAGACACAACTCTTTAGTTTCCATGGAGACCTTATTTTCCCCTTCTTTCTTTGGCACACACACTCTCTCTCTCCACAGTTCCTTTTTAAACTCTCTCTTTTTAGTTTCAGACAACAGGTGGACGTTGTATTGCATAGGTGTCAAGTACAGTAATATAGGAATGAGCACTGTGGGGAGAGGTCAGAAGTTAGGGGATTAACTAAATGGGTGCACAGAGGGAATGAGTGGGCTGTGAGTAACTCGCAGATGAAGGAACACAATGTCCTCCATGTAGCAAATCTGAATGAAACTAAAATCCTTACTGCTGTGTTACAATCAAATAGGTGGCACTTACACTTGAGAAATGAATGTAAAGATAATACAGTATCATCAAAATATTAAATGAATACTGTGGAAGCATGGGGATCAAAAGAACACCCTGTGTTTCAGCAGGTTCCTGTTACAGACACAGTATAAATGTCAACGACTGTATCCAATAGAAAACCCTTTAATTAGAGAGTGTTAAGTCATGCAGTGGGACATGAAGCTGAACGAGGTGAAGGAAAGACCATCCTCCCTGCCAAGACGCCCATCTGTGGATGGAAATAGCACCGATATACTGTAGGTGGCAGTGAGATATTAATGCATTTTAGTTGTAATGTATATTTTGCTGGAGAGACCTTTGTATTTCTGTCTCCTTCAGCACCATCCATCACCTCCTGTCATCACACTGAGAAACACATTCAAAAGCACACACATGCGTGAACATAAATGCTGTAGGCTACACATATGATTTTTCTAGAGCAAAACTCACTGAGGAGACCAGTGACCAAAATCACCACCAGAAGCCTTCAAAACCAGTATAATAACTCTTCCCTTCTGCCCTTTTTGAGTTTGATGAGCAGATAATGGGAGCTATTTTCTGTTGTGCAGGCAGTCCCTATGGCCCTGCTTGATGACTCCCCCTTGAATGCAACAAGAGACAATTTACTCAGAAGCACACAGCTGCTTCATTTGTCACTTTGAGAGCTGATCCAGGTCAATGTGTTTTTAGAAAATCAGGCCGAAGGTGGAAGGGGGTGGGGGGGGGGGGGCAAAAACTCGGCAAACACTCCCAGCTGATGAATAAATTTTCTCTAAATAAGCACCTATACAGCATTGTTCTTCGTGGAAACAACATGTCACGTGCACTTTTTGTTTTTATGTTTATTATCAACTGGTTCCCAATACATGACTTTTGCTAAACATTTTATGAACTTAATACAAAACCAATTCCATGAGCATGCATTCAGTTTTGGCCGGGTTTTGGAAACTTTTGATCCAAAAAAATGTTGCAATCATTGCATTAAACATACTTATAGTATGTAATAAATCTAGTATTCTCACCAGAAAGTGCCAGGCCAAAGTGCTTCCTATGGAATAGAGAGATAACTATGCTAACATTTTCCATTATTGCAGACTGTCTTAAAATGTTGATTTAAAGCTTATAGAGTTTTTATGCTTCAGATTGAATATGCAGTGACACTATGTATTTTGTTTTGTTTTTATTTATTTATTTACAGCACCTGGTATTCCCAGGCGGTCTCCCATCCAAGTACTAACCAGACCCGACCCTGCTTAGCTTCTGAGATCGGACGAGATCGGGCGTTTTCAGGGTGGTATGGCCGTAAGCATGTATCTGATGATTGATCTGGCAGGAACCTTTGACGGACTGCTGTTTCCTGCGGTAAACCGTACTCATTTCCTGTTTTCTGTATTTGCACTGCGTTGTGCTTGCTTCCAGATTGTTTA